GCAATAGAGGTGGAGGCAAGAGAATCGCAAGTTTGAGGACAGTGTTGACAACTTAGGGAGATCCTGTGTCAAAAGTAAAAATAAAAAGGACTAAGGATGTAGCTGAGTGGTAGAGTGCTGCTGGGTTCAATGCCTAATACCAAAAAAAAAAAAAAAAAATTTTTTTTTGCAAGCATATACGAAATGAGGTAGAATAAACAACTCCTCCTCCTTACCTGTCAGCCAGCTTCAGTAAAGACAGGATCATGACCAGTCTTGTTTCATCTTTTTCCCTATCCCTTCTCCCCTCCCAGTTAATTCTGTAGCAAATCCAAAACATATTTACAATTCCAACTATAAATATTTCAGTAATCTTTTTTGTACTGGGGATTGAATCCAAGCTTAGCTCAACTACTAAGCTACATCTCCAGCCCTTTTCATTTTTTATTTTGAGACAAGATCTCACTAAGCTGCAAAGGGCTTCACTAAGTTGCTGAAGCTGGCTTTGAACTTGCAATCCTCCTGCCTCAGCCACTGAGTTGTTGGGATTCCATGGATTTGCATCACTATGTCCAACTCATTAGGTATCTTAAAAGTATATGAGCCAAGTACTATTTTTTTAAAAGGTGTGGACAAATACCATTATCAAAACAAAGAATAATAATATCACTTATAATTATTATTTTCTCATTTTATTGTTCTTTTGTGCCGGGTGATAAAATCCAATTAGGATTTGAAGCAATTCTACAGAAGCACTTAAATAAAAATTAAAGTGAAAAAAACAAGGGTTTCATTTTAAGATTTACCTTAAATCTGCATGGGGTAACATAGATGCCAAAATCTATATTAAATATTTCATGAAACTCACAGCTAGAGAAATGGATGTGACATGACCTTTTACTCCCATATTTCTTCAAAAGGAAAATATTTATTCACCACTGGCAACATGTAGGCAGTCTGTTATCTCTTATAACCCTGAGTGTCCACCTCTCAGTTGAAGCGACCGTGTTGATGGAGACAACCTATTCCTCTAGGCTGGTACCTGGCTGAACAAGCAGGTGAATTCAAGTCTGTCTCCCTTTTAAAGTCTTAACATATTTACTTCCACTCACAAACTGCTTTGTTGTTAATGAGATCGTCAAACTCCTAATTAGAAATGCTTTCTCTCCTTCCTTGCCCTTCCCCAGGATCAGAGTGTCAGGCGAAACCTGCAAAGGCAGACTGCTATACCCCCACTGCACAGATGAGGCCAGAGAGGCCTGGAGATATGAAGAAACTTCCCCATGTCATTCAAGCTGGTAAACTGCAGTGCCAAGAATAAAATTGTGTTTTATGTCTTTGAGGCAGTGCCCTTTCTCTGTGTACTGCCTTATCTGAGTGTAGAAGTTCCAAAACTCTTCTTCCTGCTATAGTCCTTTGCTTAATAACATGTTAGAACATCCAAAGGCTGACAGCATTTGGGAAGTTCCTGTAACAGCAGGGCACAAGAACATAAGGTCAAAGATAAAGTCACTCAAACACTCCTTGCTGTGCCCCTGAAGCATATCACAAGAGCACATGCCCTTCCTACATACTGCTTAGCAGCATGCACCATATTACCAACAAGCCCGAAGGAAACTGAAGTCACGTTTCAGGATAATCGACTTAGATATCACACAATCGAACTGTGAGTTGGAAAAATCCAAACAGAAGGTGCCCAGAGCTGGAGCTGTTGTGTTGCCATGCCCATCTGGTTCACACAGCTGTAAGACTGAGACCTGCACCACCAGTGAGAATGTGTGTTTCCAATAGTTACAATCTTGATTATCGTGTTCACAATAACCCTATGAGGCAGACAGAGTAGGTTTACAACTAGCTATTGATGGGTTGCATAGTTTTTACAATGCTAGTTATAATGTGTAGACAAGTTGAATAAATCATGTTTTTGCTGAGCAATGACCATGTATCAGGAACTACCAGAGAAACAGGGAAGAAATATTAAGACATAGCTCTTGCCCTCTAAAAGCTTACAGTCTGATTGAAGAGACGTGACCAAGTTCACGTGCTATAATGCTCATTCAGAGAGCGGGGCAAAGCAGCCAGAACTTCTCAGGAAACCTGGCCTGGCATGATCCACGGTCTTCCTTTAAGCTCTGAAATGTGCTCCTCAGGTCATGAATTTCTTGGAGGGGCAGGACACCTGCAGAAACCAGCTCAAAGGGGGAGACTTGAGGGACTACTTAGAACAAGCAAGTTTGTGGAGACAGGGTTGGGTACAGTGGTGAATCTTTACTGTTTTCTTCCCCCAAAGACTTAAGGTTAATGCCTGTGTCAAGGATAAAATCTCAAAACTAGGTTTTTCAGTGTGATAGTAGACTGAACCACTGTACCAACTCTGGGCTCTCAGTCACTACTGTGATACAGTGAGTTTACCTAATTTTGTTTACTGTAAACAACATGTCATATTTTTTTTTCAAAATCCCATAACCACACAAGGATTATTTAAATTTCAATAGCCCGTTTATGTGACATTTGTTTACAAAGAATCAATCTTCAGCCAGTCTTTAATTGTAAATAAGAAAAGAATTATGAAATCATCAAAATTCTAGCACTCTTCCTAAAAGCAGGCATGAGATTCTGAAATTACATGATATATACCATCTGCCCCATTATCACCAATGAAAAATCCAGTGATGTGGCCAAAACTGAAAATCATTAAAGTTCAGATTTTATATCTTAAATTATTGTATTCTATAAAAAGTTGAAGTCCAATATATTTCAATAAACACTGCAAACTGTTTCTCCTGAAGCCTTACTATCAGAGAATGAAATTATATCTCTCCTATTTAAGAAGTTCATACAAAACTAAGAAAAAATATTAAAATTTTTATTTCCCTCCAACATGCACAATTTAAGTTAGGGTTAAAAATATCAACATCTACTCCACTCACAAAAGAGAAAATTGATTTTATTGAAGTGGCATTAAATAATACCCCACAATTTTTCCTTTCCCTGTTTAAGTACAAAATAATGCTCTTTATAAACAATGTAATGTGGGGTTCTTATTTACACTGTAAAAACTCTACAAGCATTAGCTTTTTCTTTCTTCCTTCCTTCTTTTTTGAACACTTAAATCTTTCACAAAAAGATTACCTTGAAATCAAAAAATGATGACAGTGAAGGGTGAAGAATTCCCTGGATACTGTTAAAGATTACCAGGCTGTTGGCAACAACACTCTACCCTGGCTTTGACCATTGGTCCAGGTCATAGCTTCTGACTGCAGGTGTTCTGTAGCTTCTGCCTTCCTCTACCATGTACAGTTGGAATGGAATTACTGCTATTCAAGTTAAAGAAAGTATCATGAAATGAAAGCAGCACTGCGAAACACAGGTTGCTTTTTCACTTTTTTTCCCCCTCAGCAATAAAAAAGGCCATCCTCTCTGAATGAGATGTAATGATGTCTGTGAACTGTGCACAAATTTACTTTATTAAACTGATGACAATGCATCTAGACTTTGAGAAATGAATTGAGACAACAGATTTTGTTTTTTAAGAAAACTGAAATAAACCCTTCCTTTGGTTAGATGAACTAATCAAGGTTTAAAAAAAAATATATCTAGATGTTTTGAAGGATCTATGGAGTTTAACCATACAGTTTGGCCAGAAAACCAGGTGAGCACATAACTCTTCATGGAAGGCTGTCTAGGGACAATGAACTTTTAGTAACTGCCACACAGTTTTCTCCTTTATGATGCTCTACTGCCTCAGCCTTGGGCTGGCTCCTTGAGAGTGTGTCATTACACTAAGCTTCCATGGCCAACATACTCCATCAAGTTCATTTCAGAGTTACACAAATCAACACTGAACAATTAAGTGAAATGCCATCCTCAACCATAACCAGATCTGTTTCAACAAACACATTCTTACTGTGAAAAGGAGACACTATGTTGAAATGTCATACACCTTGTCACCCACTGCTCAGCAATGTCAAGGTTACTGAGACCCTCTAACTGCCACTACCTGGATCTGAAACCTCAGCAGCCATCATGAAATCCTTTGGTACACCGGTTTCCCACCCCTTGAGTGGAATCGCAGATGAACTTTCATACTGATTTTCTGTTACACATTTTTATTCATGTCTAAAATATTTTTTGAGTGTCCCAAGAACAAAACATTGCTGATTCTATTGTAGTATTTTTGAAAAAAGATATATTAAAAAGGTAAAGATTATACATTTACTTATGTCCTTGTGGCAGTCATCTGCAGTGTCTCAGTGCTGGAGGTTTAATAAGACAGGTAGCCCACATGCACTCAGGCACATAGCAGAGCTTTTTTCCCCCTTATATACACAGAGTGGACAGCAATTCTGCAACCAATTGTACTACCTGTATGCTTTACGTTAGTGGAGCTGTAAAGTTGACAAATATAAAATGAAATGTCCTATGTCCTTAAAGTAAAACCTGTGTTTTAGTCCTTATATTTTCAGTGCCCATAAATTAATTCATCAATTTAATTAGGTAATGTGCCACATGCATATAAACTTTCTTTGTTTTTAGGTACTTTTCAAATTCACTGACCTCAATTTTATCAACCATTCCCTAGTCTTCCTGGAGTTGAAATAAAAGGGGGGGGAGGGTTTAAATACCAAGGTCAAAAGAGAAATTCATCCAGTAAACGATAACATTCCCACTCCCTGGGCTCTGACACTTCTTAACTTAGAACCTACCTATTTTGTCATGAGGTTAAATTCTCATCTCATTTCTTCATGTTTCCCTTTGTGGTGGGTTTTTATTAGGTTTTCAAAACACCCATCAAATTTAAAGAGACACAATTGTTCTTAGAAGGTCCCTGTGCCTCCCTAATTTCAAGATGCTATTCCTTCCAAGGGAGGAACAGTTGAGGTTAAAACACCATCTCAGGTAATTTTTACTTGAGAAAAATGCAAGCAGTGGGAAAAAGTAAAGGTGCTCAGGGTGCCCTGGATACAAAGGGCATGATCCAAAAGGGAAGGAGGCAGGCGTCACTGGAAACTTCTGCTTACCCCTTGTTCAGATTCCAAAAGCTCTGTTTTGACTCTGACTGCCGGCATCCCATCAAGCATTAACATTCTGTTCTCAAAGGTGTTGATATTCTGAGAATGAGAGAGAGGAGAGAGAGAGAGAGAGATTTAGTTATATAGCATCAAAAGAGGACATCTGATAGCGTCTTGCTTTCTAGTAGTACCTTTGGTACCGCTAACCTAATTCTTTAACAATGAAGTATAATTAAATGAAGGGATCATCATAACCAATTATCCCCCCACTCTGAACTTTCATTTGAAATAATGACCAAGAAGTTGAATTAATCAGTCTGATCCTCTGACCTCTGGGTTGGAGGTCAGCCTGTAATAAACTGCAGTGTGGAAACCTTACATTAATTTTTATGGAGCTGACAATTTATCATACTTTCTCAAGAATGGAAGGAAAGATAAGCCAAGTTTTTCTCTTTCTTAGTCCTAGAGGTTGCCCTGTGTACAGGCATTCATAAAAGAGAAAATAAGATTTAAAATAATTTATATACTCTCAGAGTTTAAATAATTTAAACGCAAGATATAAAAATTAAATGAGTCCAGAATTATATTATCATGGCAATTCTGATCAAGTGAAAATTTCTACATCATCATTCCCCTAAACACTATTTTAAAGAAAGCCAATATAAGATGTAAATTAAGACTGAATTCTTAAAGTCAAAACTAAGGAACAAAAAAAAAAAATTTTTTTTCCTGTTCTAGTATATGGTGCCTTGTTTCACCACCTCCTGAAAGGAGAACCTTATTTACGTTGTAGTTCATAATAGAATTTCAAACATTTATATGAATAAATTTATTTTCTACTTATTTTTACTGCTGTAAGAATTTTCTGGAGTAACATCTGTAGGGCACCAGACAGCCCCAAGTCAGTGTACACCTAAGGTCCAAATCAGGCTTGTTTTAAACATGTGTCAAGTGCCTAATAATACCAGCTAAACTAAGACACTAATAATACTAAATCTGTGTTTTTACAATATTATCTTTGTCTCAATTACAGAATGTAAAAACATAACACTGAAGTGGTCTTAAGTGTAAGATCAGTTCCTAAATATTTTGCCTACATGGGTGACAAAGGTTAGTATAATTTCTCCTCCAAAGAGTTACTTCTCTACGAAAAACAACTTCAACAAATCAGAAATTGAAAGTATTATTACCATATAATACCAACAGAGTGCAGTAGAGTAAAGCTCCATTTCTCTTAATTCTTGACTCTTTGTTTAAGGAAAATAATATAAGAAATAAAATATATAGTGCCTTTTATCCTATATTTGCTGAGAAATCAACATGGAAAAAAAATGTACTCAAGTTAACTAGTGAACATTTAAAAAGTCCACACTGCCTAGTCTATTAAGTAATAAAAATAAGAAAACAAAATTAGTGTCACCTTTTTTTCAGGAAATGAACAATATTTTCAAGATTGGGAGGATTCATTTTCTTACAGTCTTGCTTTTGACTTGTCCATATTTTGTAGGGAGTGGATCTGCATTCTAATAGATAGCTTAGAGCAGAAGGAACGGTGGTATTGCTGGTAAGCTCAGTTAATTTGTTCCAAATTTAAAATCCTTTCATCTGGGCCTATGGTTGTTTGCACATCGAGCATGGATCTCAAATCCTAATGGGTCACTTGCTTCTGTGGCTGGAAGCAGCCAGCTTGGCATGCCACCAGCCGGTCTCAGGAAAGCCTTCCTACAGCCAGCCAGACCTCAACTCCCCAGCCTCTTAAGCAGCTCTAGGAACCTGCCTTGCTGAAGCATTCTGCAGGCAGTGGGGCTGGTGGACAGTGAAGAATGAGCTGATCTTGCTTCCTACCCTGGAGGAGGTCTTGCCCAGATGAAAAGGGGACAAGATGCCTTATAAGGAAGGCCTAAGCAAAGAAGGAGAAAAGACAAAGAGCGATCTGGAAAGGCAGGTTTAATGAACTGTTAGAATCTGATTAGAGGCTAATGTCCCTTTTAGTGCTTTGTACCAATTTACAACTGATATACTTTAACCATCTTCCCCACTGGCTGTGATAAACTCATTAGTTTAAAAAATGCAAGCTAACCAGAGTCTTTGAAGTTAAAAACTTATAAATCATAAAAACTTGGCTGGGTCCATGTTTCATTTAGCACATATAAATAACACTATTTTCATGATGGCGTTTTAAAACTTCCATTGTTGGTCCTGAATAATTCATTCTACAATATGTGTAGAAGTCACTATGTACATTTTAGTTTCATGTAAAAGTGAAAAATATACATTTTTCTCTTTTACTTAATCATGTTTTCACTGGAAATAATTCTAGTATGATTTTACAGAATCATTCAATCATACAGAATATTACAACCGTAACAAACAACACAAATAGCAATGTTCACAGCTAGAGAACCAAGCCTCAACTGTACTGAGAAATCAACTCTCTTAAACAGTACAGATTCAATCTGTATATATGCCCCAAAATTGGGTTCTAAATATATGTGAAGCATATGCATGATTCTAACCCTGCTTAGCCTAAATGTATGCATTAAGCACCTCAGCATGCTCAAACCACCCAGGAAGGCACACAATTTTTAAACAGTGCATGGTAATTATAGCACTGAAGATACAGTCCTTGGAACAAAATAGTGATAGATTTATTATCTCACTAAGCTAAGGTCATATACATATAATCTCAGATGACTAAATTTCAAAAGTGTAATAGGTTCTAATAACTTGGAATTGCTGTCAAACATATCTTACCATGATCTTAATCAAAATACATCTGCTGTGGAATCAATAGCTCAATTGATTCCCAAGAGGAAAATAAAATTACAGAGTCATCAATTTTAGTGTCACAGCACTTTGTATATTTATGCCATAACAAACATTTTGATATTCTGTGACCCTCAGAATTATAATTCATGTGTAGCCGTGCATTATATATATAGAGAGTATATATATAAACACACCACATATATGTATAAGTTGTTGCCTATGAGTGAGTTTTATCAACTGCACATTTTACTGTAGGATTTGTTAGTTGGCTGTTGACCAATTCCATGTGCAGCGAGTGAGAACAGTGCTCTGGATAGTCCTATTTGCCAAATAAGATTTGGCAACACAGTCATCCAGCAGGTAGCAACTCTCCTAGTTAAAAGCCATATCAGTGAAACAGTGATTGATGCCAGCATCTCATAACATTCAGAATGGCATGCGCAGAAAGGAGAAGGGACTAGTCTTCGATGATGGTAACTCAAACACGCAATGGCGATGACTTCTCAGGTCAGCTTTACAATTTGTCCTTCTACCCCCATATTGCAGGTCTTTTCCCATCCCTCCTAAGTGTGGGTTGGTATGCATAACTGGAATAAGGAGCTAGTGAGTCAATAATCAACAGTTTAACTTTTTTTTTCCCCTGGTACCTGGGATTGAACTCGGGAGCCCTTGACCACTGAGCCACATCCCCAGACCTATTTAGTATCTTATTTTTAGAGGCAGGGTCTAAGTTGCTTAGCACCTCACTTTTGCTGAGACTGGCTTTGAACTCATGATCCTTCTGCCTCAGCCTCCTAAACCACTGGGATTACAGGCGTGTGCCACCACACCCGACCTCAACAGTTTAACTTTTAAACAGGTTTCATTTTCTATGCCAAAAATGTGTTTTTCCCTCTCTGGGTACAGGACATAATAGGTTACAAACATAAAATTAACAGCTAATATTTGCATATATACTATAGACCAAACCATGTGCTAAGTGTTGTGCACAGAGATACTCATTTAATCCTCACAGTAACCCAAGAGGTTGATGCTTTTATTATCTGAAGTTGAAGTATCTGGGACACAAGGAGGTTAAATTACCAGGCTAACACAATTAGTAAGTGAGAGGGCTGTGTTCCAAACTCAAGGAGTCTGACCCCAAGCTGTATTTTCAACAGTTATACTCCATCCACCTGCCTACTCTCCTCCCTATCAATATGCACTCTATACATAAAAATGGGGTAAAAATGTGACGCTTTATTGAAGGTTCCTTCAGGATAGCTCTAGAATCTAGTATCAGCTTCTTCAGACCGAGCTTAGCAAAGGAACTGTGAAACTTCTGGTAATGGTGAGAAACTATATTTTAGGGAATGACAATATTAATTTAAATCAGCCTCTGGTTTCAAAGCTATTTTACCTTTTATCCCCATTAAATCACATTTTCAATATGTTTTCTTAATTTAATGAAAGTCTAAGTTTCTGGCAAGGCATAGTGGCACAAGCCTGTAATCCCAGCAGCTCAGGAGGCAGAGCAAGAGGATCACAAATTCAAAGTCAGCCTCAGCGACTTAGTGTGACCCTAAGCAACTTAGCAAGACCCTCTCTCAAAGTTAAAAATAAAAAGGGCTGGGAAAGTGGCACAGTAGTTAAGCACCCCTGGGTTTTAACCTTGAGTGTGTGTGTGTGTGTATGTGTATATATTTTTTCCCTATATTAAAAAGTGTCCCATTTAATTTAGCAAATGAGCCCATCCTGAATTCAACATCCAGGAAATCTATGGTAATCTCATCTATAATGTGGTGTTTTGAAAACATTCACATTCTTGGTTCCTAATTCAATATTTTCACAAAAGTTTCATGTATCTGGGTAATAAAGTAACTTCATCTCCTACCTTTATATTCAGGAAAGATGCATTTTTGCATTATATTTAATTTACAATTGCTAAGGTTAAACATTAAAGTATGTTTTTCTATGCTTAGATATCCTCAATGGCAACTCACTTGAACATGGCATATGAATTACTAAAGTACCTGAAATGGTACAAAACAAATATCAGCTCAGACTCTCCCACTTCAGTCAGCCTTTCATCTGTCATTCCTCTGCAGATTGGGAGCATGGCTATCACATTAGTGACTACATTTTATTAACAGAGCTAAAAGCCAAAACTATTTAGCATTCCCCTGTTGGGACCCTCAATTTAAATCCCTTTCATGGTTTCCATGATCCATATGTACATTACTCTGAAATATTTGTCTTCAGCCTCAAAAACAAAATCCTTCCATAAAAATGTCACATTGAAACATAGGGAGCAATCTCTCTCCTAAGGACTAGCTGAATTATGTGTGTAA